TTCTTTCTTTCTTTCTTTCTTTCTTTCTTTCTTTCTTCTTTCTTTCTCTCTCTCTCTCTCTCTCTCTCTCTCTCTCTCTTTCTTTTTTCTGTCTATCATCTATCTATCTATCTATCTATCTATCTATCTATCTATCTATCTATCTATCTATCATCTATCTATCATTGTCTATCTACATATCAATTGCTTTTGCTTGCTTACTTCAAATCTCTCTCCCTCCCTCTCCTTCTCCCTCTCTCCCTCTCCCCTTTCTCTCTTTCTCTCTATCTCCCCCTCCCTCCCTCCCTCCCTCTCTCTCTCCTCTTTCTCTCCCGTCTCCCTCCTTCTCCCCTTCCCTCCCTCCCTCCCTTCTTCCCTTCCTCCCAGGAGTTGAGCACACCTTAGGGGGGGATGCGTCTTTGTAGACAGAGAATAAAGAAGTTTCCCCAGCTTGTTACTCTGATCTTCCTTTAGCTCCTTTTCCTTCTAACGGTCCTTCCACTCTTCCCAGGTGTTGAGTCCCACCTACAAACAACGGAATGAAGACTTCAGGAAACTTTTCAAGCAGCTTCCCGAGACGGAGCGCCTCATTGTTGGTAAGACAATCCCCCCTTCTTTCCAGGCCTGCAACAAGGCAAAGGTTCTCCAGCAGGGGTGGGCTGCTACTCATTCTCCCTAGTTTGGGTGAACCGGTACCAAACTGGTAGCTACCCCTCCCCTCATGCAGCCTGTTTTGGACCCCAGGTAAGTACAGGACCCACATGGAGGCTCGGGGAGGGTGAAAAACAGGTCTCCTGGAAGCTGCAGAAGGCCGGAAATGGGCTTGTTTCCAGCCTCCAGAGGACCTCTGGAGCCTGAGGATGCCATTTTCGCCCTCCTGGAGGCTCGAGGAAAGCCTCCGGAGCCCACAAAGGGTGAAAATGCCCCCCTCCCCGCCATGGTGCAGGAGGCCGACTAGGCCATGCCCACCATGGCCACGCCCACCCAGCAACCAGGCAGAGAAGTGTTTGCTAAAAAATTTTTGAAGGCCAGCCCTGTTCTCAGGAATCATAAAAGCCAGTCGCATCGGTTGAGGCTGGGAAAAGGTTTGTTCTTTGTCCAGGAAGAAAATTTCTCCATCTCACCCTGTCTCACGCAGGGGGTGTTCAAAGGTATCAATCTGTCTGGTCGTATTTATTTTTCTTCAGTTCATCAAAGCGTCCCAATGTTGCTTTTTCCAAAAGGCAGTTGGACTTTTTTTGTGTGTGTGTGTGTGGGGGGGGGGGTTTCCCTTGAAAATGTTTTACTTCCCTTCCAAGAAACTTCTTCAGGTCTGAAGAAGCTTCTTGGATGAGAAGCGAAATGTTTTCAAGGAAAAAGAAGAAGAAAAAACAAGGAAGTCCAATTGCCGTTTGAAAAACACCTTTCGGCTAACCATGACGAGAATGGTTGAAAATCTCCAAATCCAAGATTGGAGATTTTGAAAATGAATCCTCTTTTGAACTACACCTCTTTTGAAAACTTTTGAAAACTAAATTTCCAACTTCTTCGATTGGAAAAAAAGACAGCACTGAATCCACATTTATTGCAGACTAGAAACTCCTTATAGACTTTTGCTTGAAACAGAAAAAAATGAACTTATGATTAATACAATATCAAAAAATTCCAGGAAAAAAAATTCATTTCCATATTTAAGGAAAATTTGGCCTCTAAAGTGTTAAAAGTCACAGATTTGAGTGTCTTGCTCCATAACAATTGCTCTTATCGCCTAATTAGCTCAAAGTCTAAATCAATATTACATTTCTGTGACTTTTTAAAGGCAAGTTTACTATATTCTTTATTCAAAGAGGAAATTTACTTCCAGGGGCAGGGAGAAGAAAGTGTTATGTAAGCCAGCTTAATGACAGTAAAAGATAACTAGTTAGCAACTTCTAGTAGTAAAACAGGCCCTATTCTTTTTCCAAGTGAACGGAAGGAATGTTTCTTTTTAATCGATGACAAGGTGAAGGGCCAAACTTGACAAAACTCCATTTAAACCCGTTAACAATTAACAGCAAAGATTTCATTCTTATATTGGTGTAATATCTTGGCTGCCAAAATCTACACCATGACTGGATGTCAGCAAAGAAGGAGTTTTCTGTATCTCTTTGTTGACCTTTAATGCTATCCGTATTTCTGCAGCCAAATCTGGTCTCCCTTCTTTCTCCAACGGCAGTGGCAATCTAGATTAAGTCTCAGACTCCTCTCATTTTTAGAAGTTATGCGTGCCCAAGGGTGAAAAGCATGCCTTTTTTAGCCTGCAATAATTGTGTAACTTGAAAGTGGATTAAAAACAACAAGTAAGGCTGGTGCCAGGAGCTGTTTGGTTCCATCCACCCTTTCTCACCCACCTGGTAAGAATAACTGGTTTGGAACAACCTTAGACCAGGAAGAGGAAAAAGCCTTTATCTATGGATTATCTAGAGATTTTCCAACTTTACGATCTTCTTACTTAATAGCAATACATTATTACTGAAGGGGAAAGGTTTATGTGTCATCCTTGGAAGCCCTATTTTACTTAGAAGCTTCGAGGGTGCCGCATTTGTCTACCTGGGCAATTGGGAGGGGGGATTGCATAGAGAGGTGGAAGATTAGACACGATAACATTATTCTCTAGACGTCAAGGACAAGTGACCTGCATCTGGAGAGGAGTGGCACACGGGATGTCTCCAGTTGGGACGACATTTGATTGGGCCATGTGATGGACTGATGGGTGCAGGGGATGCAACTTTGAATTTCTTTGGGGGGAAGGGAAAACCTGGAACTCTCAGATTTGGGTTTTCCCAGACGTGCCAATATGACACAACTCTAATAAAATGGAACTTTGAGAAGAGGCTTGTCTCAGAGTTTATTGGGTTGGAGTTGGTTAGTTGGAACGCCAATAACGTCAAGAACGCTGACATTATGACAAGATTTTTTTTCAGAAGTTGACTTGCCATTCCCTCCTTCCTAGAGATTTCAGAGGATATCTTTAATAGAGTTGGGAAGGACCTTGTAGATCATCTAGTCCAACCCCCTCTGCCCAAGCAGGAGACCCTACACCACTTCTGAGAGATAGGGACTGGCCCAAAGTCACCTGGGTGGCTTGTGCCCAAGGCAGGGCTAGAACTCACAGTCACCCAGTGTCAACTGAAAAACGTGTATACAAAATGTTTTTTTTTTGGGTGATAGTTTTCACAGGGTCCTAAGGGCTTCCAGGTTTGTATGGTCAGTCCAGACTTCGAGTGGTCTCTGTCCTCCTTCCAGCAGGTGGCACCAGGTTTGCAGCACTGCGAAAGCCTCTTTTTCCCATGCAGCCCATTGTCACTCTGTGTCAGTTAGCTTGCGGGAGGTGTAGGCACAGGGCTGTAGGCTGTAGTTTTGGGGAGTGTAGCTCGAGGCTCATGATTTAATTGGAGTAACTGCCGGAACCCTGACACCCAGTTTCTAACCTGATGCTTTTAACCCAATTGGCTCTCACTTAATATGATAGGAAGCATGAAAACATAGCTTAGCAAGGGAGGGAAAAATAATACGACTCACTACTCTTGTGGAACTTTTGCTGAAAGAATTTTGAATTAAATAGATGTTTTAACTAAGGAGAGAGAAGTCTGGAATCCATGGTCAGATTTTCAACATACTTTTACATAGCACCAATTGTATGAATATTTTTTTTCATTTGTAAGCGAGAAGGAGCTCCTCAAAACATTTAAAATGTGGACTGAGTTGGGAGCAAATTTAAAATGCAAGTTGAAATCCACACAGTCATGAAATGATGAATTATACTAAAGGTAAAGGAAAAGGTTCCCCTCACACATATGTGCTAGTCGTTTTGGGCTCTAGTGGTGGTGCTCACCTCCATTACAAAGCCGAAAAGCCAGTATTGTCTGAAGACGTCTCCATGGTCATGTGGCCGGCATGGCTAAACGCCAATAAGGTGCACGGAATGCTGTTCCCTTCCCACCAAAGTGGTCCCTATTTTTCTACTTGCATTTTTACCTGCTTTTGAACTGCTAGGTTGGCAGAAGCTGGGACAATTACGTGGCGCTAGGGATTCGAACAGCTGAACTGCCGACCTTTCTGATCACCAAGCTCAGCGTCTTAGCCACTGAGCCACTGTGTCCATTTGTTAGTTATACCACTAGAAGAGAAATCGTAACAGCAACCATCTACTTTTCATTTTTCATGTATTTGCTCTTCGTTTAGCCAGGTCTCTTTTCCAAACATAGCTCCTTTTTAAGTTGGGCTTCATTATTACAGAAAAATAGACAAGAAACATTGGTTCCAAACTATCATCGTGGTTCGACAGCCCATTTCATAATATATTTGCAAGATTCATTGGCGGTGAGAAAAGAAACCAGGGCATGCTTTTTAAAATTAAGAGAAAATTAAAAGAAACCAGGGCATGCTTTTTAGAGGTAGTCTTCCATTTACAAAAAAATCATTTAATGACCACTCAAAGCTACAATGGCATAAAGAGAATGAATATAACTTAGCAAGGATGAGATACGTTTTCAAAAGATAACAATTATAATGTTAACGATAACATAATAATCGAACAATATGATATAAAATGTTGATTAGAGCAGTTTATAAATATAATTAAGGAAGAAATGTACAATATCATTATGCGCACAAGATATATGTACCCCACCGACACACTGTAAAATTAAAAGATGGTTTTATTTGTTATTTTTGTTTTTTTTAAAAATGTTATTTTTTAAAAAAAGCTACAATGGCATAGAAAAAAGTGACTTATGACCGCTTTTCGTACTTACGACCATTGCAGCATAACTATAGTCACACGATCCAAATTTGGATGCTTGGCAACTGACTCATATTTATGACAGTTACAAAGCATCCTGGTGGGGGAATCACATGGTCTCCCCTGCTTAACCGGTGCAGTGATTCACTTGACAGCTGTGGCAAAGAAAGGTCCTTAAAAAGGGGACCAAATTCACTTTAATGTTTCACTTAGCCACAGGAATTTTAAGCTCAATTGTGGTCTTAAATCGAGAGCTACCTGCATTGTAATTTTTTTTCTGGGTGTAATCTGTAGTTTGTCCAGGATCTTTGTTAATGGGCCCCTGTTTGAAAGATGCTTCAATAATTCCCGCTGCCAAAAACAGCTTCTTTTCCCCTCCCTTTTATTTATCTTCCTTGTCCATCTACCCAAATTTGTTTTCCTGCTGTCGATGTTTAGACTGCGAGAAACCCAACTGGTCCCTGTTTATTTTCTACCGTGTACAGAAACATCCAGTTATTTTTGCATTCTTTATAAATATTTATGTCCTTTTGGCTACATCATGTTGCTCCCTCTGCCTGGCTTTTCCTACAGATTACTCCTGTGCCCTTCAAAGAGATATTCTCTTGCAAGGACGACTCTACCTCTCTGAAAACTGGATTTGTTTCTACAGCAACATCTTCCGCTGGGAAACCTTGGTGAGTTGTCTTCTCCAGCCCAGCCCAGCCCACCTCATTGACTTTCTCTGCCATGGGTGAACCCTGAAAGTTTGCATTTGCTCCCCTTATAATGTTGTGGCTTCTATCTTTACGATTTACATTGTTTTATTTAGTTTCCTAGTACGGTTTGTGTTGATTCCATGATTAAGGGTTGCATCTTATGATTTATGATGAATGTGTTTTTATGATGGCTATGATCATGATTTATCACTTAAAGCTTTTATGTACAATGAGAACTTATGCACCGAAGATAAATTTCTTGTGTGTCCAATTACACTTGGCCAATAAAGAATTCTATTCTATTCTATTCTATTCTATTCTATTCTATTCTATTCTATTCGACTCTACTCTACAATCCAATATTTATTCTATTCTATTCTGTTCTGTTCTACTCTACATTCCAATATCTATTCTATTCTATTCTATTCTATTCTATTCTATTCTATTC